GCATTGTGAAATTGTGTCATATGTGTGAAACGAAACTTGAGTTTTTTTAGTGTCACATGGCTGTGACTTATCGCTTCCACCACTCCCTTCGATAATCTTCTTTAACTGATAAATGTAATGTACATTCCGTTTACTGTTCTTTAATTAAGAATCTGAAAAATGTTAGTAGATCTTTATTTTCCGTCAACGTATACATGTAACACAGAAGTAAATCAAAAAAATTAAAATTATAAAATTAAATGATCAATTATAGAAAACGATGGTTTAGATATATAACATTCCAAGCTTACATGATTACATCAAGTAAAACATAATTTGGTTTTTTTATTATCATCAAATCGAATATTTAAAATAAACTAACAATACAAAGCGAAGATAGATATCCATTATGTTTCTATATATATTTTGTCTTAACATGTTCAGTGTTTATAATGATGATACATAATGTAATCTTATCACAATAATCAACAATCATTTTCTTAAGATTGACCACAAAAAAAAAAAAAAACAACCATTTAAGACCATCATTATTGATGATCTTTTGTGAGTATCATTAGATATAAAATTATTAAAACACACATTTTCTCTTCCTTTTACTCAACTTTATACCTTCTCTTTCATCTTTTTATTCAACTTTTATTAATTTTATATTTAAACACACCCCAACTAAAGTTTAAACTCTCCCCAAAAGTATCAACCCATTGATACAAAGACACTCTCTCTTCAAAAGTATCAATTCATCTCCTCTTTTTACTCAAATTTTATTAATTTTATATTTCAATATATTCCATTATTTCAACCAAAAATACTCTCTTTCTTCTTTTTACTCAAATTTTAATAATTTTATATCTAATGATACCCACCAAAAATCATCAATAATGATGTTCTAAGTATATTCATTAATATATTTATCAATACCAAAAGGGCAAAGCCAATCATTTAATTATACTAACGTGAAAAAAATCAGTTATCTTTACACGTCAGATCTGTAACTTCTACGAAACCACTGTCACTATAGCGAAACCTTAAAAGATTGAACTTTCTTTGATTATTATTATACCGACGTTAAAGCACACGTGTCAACACTACACACGTAGGTACCCACACGTGCGCGTACGTGTGTATATAGACCCTCTCTCTCTCTCTCTGAAGAAGAGAGAAATCAAAAGAAGAAAATGGAATGCAGAAAACACAATCACCAAAGCAACAAAGGAGTTTGCCCATCTTGTTTAAGAGATAAGCTCTCTCAACTACCTAACACGCCGTCGTATTACGTCATACACCGATCTGATGATTCTCTCTCCTTAAACACCACCGTCGATTCGTCTTCTCCGGCGTCTCCTCCGGTTAAGGATCATCACCGGAGAGCTGGTTCGATGTCGATGTCTTTCGCTGTGAGAGAAGCGTTGAGTGGTAATCTGATTGAAGGATTGAAGAAAAGCAGATCTGTGGCTCATCGTGTTGGAACCAAGGAGTATTC